GCCCCCGACGTGTCTGAAGCAGTTGTCGTCGCCGCAACCCCCACAGTTTACGCTGCTGCCGCCCCGTCAGTGATTACTAGCCATTCATACACCGCCCCTGGTATCGTGGCTAGTGCTGACACAGCCGGTGGCTTCGCGTACTCTTCTCAATCCGTCGGACCCCTTTATGCTCCCCGTTTCTACTCTGCAGTACTTCCAGCTGCTGCCCCCATCCTTGTGAACGGAGTTCCCGCTGACACCCTCGAGGTGGCCGCTGCTAAGGCCGCTCACTATGCAGCCCATATCGAAGAGAAGGCGCGAATCTTCGGTTGAACTGAAACATTGTTTTACCTTGACCTGAGATAGTATGATTCCTGATAACACGCCACTTGTTTGTTGGTATGTAGAATGTTGTACAGAGACTATTCATCAAGTGTGTGTTTAATTGTCGTTCGTCTTATGCGCCACCCACATAGTTACAGATTCAATGCAGTTCTGTTTTTTTAAAAAAAAAAACCTGGTCTGAACACTGAGGTCGAGTTAACGGCGTTTTACCGTTACATCATTTCACAAAGAATTTAAATAAATGGTATTTGCAGTCTCAGATTCACTGTTCTTATCCTTTTCTTTACAGATTAATTATGTCTGTGGCGGATTAAAAATCCTCTTATTATCGTCTCCTTGTTTTCCCCCCTCGCTGCTTTCCACGTGTTCTGCCGTCTTTGGTCATCTGACCTCATCTGTAATCTCGGTAAGGTCCTTCCAGCTGTTCCTATAACGCAGTAAAACTTCTCATGTATTTAAGCTTTCTTTCTGTTTCTTAATTTTGTATATCCCGATAAAAATCTTAAAATTCTCATTTCTGTCTCCTGTACCTTGACCCTGTTACATGGCCACATCCGACTACCAAATGTCAGCAATATTTAACTAATATTTTCTATACTTGCGAATCCTCTAAAACCTCAATTCTACCATCGTTCTGGAAATTATTTCACTTTTAAAAACAAATTATATTTTCTCACCATACGTGCTTATTAAATTTCCTAAATTTTGTAATACGTATTAACAAATTCTTATTTCACGATCAAAGTATCTATAACTTTAAACCTGCGCATATGAACCGTTTAGACTGCTTTCGTATAAACCACTGGTAGGCAGTTCAAATCTCAGTCCTATCGTCACATCGCAACATTGGACATAACCTTGTACTTATGTTAGTAAAAGTATACACAAAATTTTGGTACGTAAACTTAGAAGTCTCTTCTGAGACATGGGCTTATATTTATGTGAATCCTAACTTAGGTACCAGATCTTTGAGATTTTACTGTGCTAAAATCAATTCCAATTAAGTGGATTCTGAGACTATTTTTATAAAATTTCGGACTTCGTAATAACAGCTATTTTCTTGGCCAGTTCTATAACTATCAAATATTCAAGGATAATTATTCATTCTGCACGTAACTGTTAAGTAGACAAGTCACTAGTTTCTGAGACGGTCAGCCACTTAGTTACTTAGTTACCCAGTCGTTCAGTTTGTTAGTTTTCCACTCAGTTTGATTAGTTCGTTAGGCAGCTAGCTATTTAATTAAGTTATGTTGCGTATATGAAGGGTGTAG